TATATATATATATATATATATATAAAGGCCTCTTATTAAGATTTTGCTTAGGCCTCCGATGAGGTTGGACCGCCCCTGGATCTAATACATGAATAAACATGTATAAAGACAGAACTGCTCTTTAAAACTTTTTTCAAAATATTTATTTTTGTAAACAAACAATTGTTTTAAAAAATTATGCAATACATGTTACTTTTAATACATTAAACCAAACAGTCGATAAGAAATATGCTCAGCATAACTAACATCAATATTACTAATACATCATATTCAGTATTATTCTCATACACCTTACCAAACTATCCCTTCGTAATTATAAAATAAGTTGCATTAATAGATAACCTAATAAAAATAATACCTAACCTGTTATCATTTTAAAATATACTAATAATATAAAAATCTTTGCGAAGGTAAAATAAGACGAAAGGAGGGAATAAATCTTGCCTACATTTTCAGAATTCTTAAAAATTGATAGTTCCAACAATACAAAGGAGCCATCAAACGGTGATACTGGAATCTAACCAGCAAATGAAAAAAACTTATGTGGGCATCCTGAAGTATTCATTTCTGATAGTGACAGGTTTCTTCATGGCGTAAAATTGTAGGCGGACAAAGTCTGAACGCAACGCTATTGATTGAACCCCAAATGGGGTCCCTTTTACTCCATTTTGGTGGGAAGGTTTTATCACAATTTTAATAAATTACAACAAAAATTTTCAGATATTGATTCAAGAAAATTACTGTAGTAAGAAGTGGACGTACCAGATTTCTTTTTTGGTTCATTTGCAGTTGGGTTAATTCTGCGAGGCAAGAAGACTCCAGTTCCAGATGACCCGTTTATCGACCTGGATCCTCCGAGAAATATAGCCCTCCTACCCGCTCCAGTACTCTGTATTGGATGATGATGATGATGAAGATGAATCTTATCACCATGCCCACCAAGTGTTTGTTTTTTGGTTAAAGTATTCTGCATCTTGTTGTGGTTTCTGTTTTTTTCAGTCATGAGTTTCTGAACTGACTCCGTAGTAGTTGTCCCCTTGACTCTTTTTCCTTTAGAAGGCCTATGTTTTAGTGTAGTTGGTTGGTCTTTTAAGTGGTAAACCTACAAAAGAAGAGTACCAAACCAGAAAAGCAAAAGTCAGTTAGATAGTAAAGACTTATCAAGAAACAACCTAAAGTTAGTTTAATTTTAATTTCTTACTTGAATTGGTCTCTTCAAATCATCACTTGAGTAAAGTACAGTATTAAAATTCTTCACTGAATCTGCAGAGTACTCTGTTGTAGGCTTAACATATGCGCTTAAAGATTCTTTGTTATAGTAGCATATTTCGCTGGAATTGTAATTGGACCAGTTTCTAGCCAGCCCGGTTGGATTTGATGACTGAAAAAGAAAAGCAATTTCAGTAAAAGTAATTGGCACCAAAAGAGAAGGTACAAAGTTCCAATCTTGAGAATATATAAATATACCTGAGCGATATTGGGAGGGTAGTTTGGGACCCTATTTTCTTCAGAATCATTACTATCAACAGCAACATCTCCTCCTCCTCCTCCTCCTTCTTCTTCTTCTTCTTCGTCGTCGTCATCTTTAAGCATATAATCAGCCATTTGGCGAGTCAACTGAGCAATGAAATCTTCATCCTCCTCGCTTTCAGTTTCATCAGTTTCTGTTGAGCCAAGTTCAGACCCAAAAGGGCTGCTTAAACCTGAGGAAGATGAATGTTCTGACCACCCATATGAACCAAACAACGAATCATTCCCCCAATTAGCTTTCTTCGCTCCAGCAGTGCTCTGTTCTTCAGAAGCCGATGCAGTGCTAAGAGTCTTAAAGGTTAATCCCGTCAAGTTTAAATCTTGAATCGGCTTATTTTGATGTTCCTCCATAGCAAAACCATGACTTGGAAACAAAGAAGAACCCATGTTTGAAGCTTAGTTACACTATGTAATTCTTGGAACTAATGGAATTTTTGCCGTTTGAGAGGAAGGACAATAAAGATGCAACTTTGGGAAAGGACGAGATTGGGGGATGTCAGGTTGAACTTGGTCTAAATATAAGGCTATAGGGGCGCGCGAGAGTTAGGGTTTAGTGGTTGGCCCGTACATTTGTATAGCCACGTTATTCAACTGCCACTTGTTGGGAACTGGTACGAACATTTAAAAATAAATACTCTCTCTGTTTCAGTTTATGTGAACCTATTTACTTTTTGATCCGTTCTAAAATAAATGACCCCTTTCTAAATTGGAAAACAATTTTCCTTAAACTTACAATTCTACCCTTAATGAGAAGCTTTTATAACCACACAAATACTCTGAACTTATTTTTTAATTGTGTAGGACCACAAATTCCAAAAGTATTCATTTTTTTTTAAATTCTGTGTTCAGTCAAACAGATTCACATAAATTGAAACGGATAGAGTATAAAATAGCGGTACCCTTGTGAGCCTTAATAAAAGGGCTTCTTTTTATGGTTATGTTGTTGTTGTAGTTTGTTTCCCTAACACATTGTGTAGTAGAGAATTGCAAATGGTTATGGTTAGAGTTGTTTGTAGTGTCACACCTACATGGTTGACTGATTGAGTTGGTAACCAATCCCCACCCTGCTAATGCTTTAAACCTCAAGGTCAAGAAAAAGGGGGGAAAGGGGGAGATAAAGATTGTTCTGTTCATTTTTTTCTTTCTTTTAGGTTTTTTTTTTTTTTTTTTTTT